TGTCCAGTCTTCTATTTGATGGCACTTGATGGTTGCTTTCAATTGCCTATGGAAACGCTCTATCATCCTGTTAGCTGCCGGGTGGTATGCTGTTGTCCTTATGTGTTTTGAGCCTGTCATTTGCGTTAGGCGTCTGCTTCGAATTGTCTTCCTTGGTCGGTCGTGATTCTTTCTGGAGTACCGAATCGCGCGATCCAGTTTATAAACAGGTGCTTTGCTATCGTTTCTGCCGTGATGTCTGTTAGTGGGATCGCCTCCGGCCATCTTGTAAAACGGTCTATTATGGTGAGGCAGTAGCGTTTGTTATTGGATGTTGGCATTGGTCCGACTATGTCCATGTGTATGTGCTGGAAGCGTCTTGTTGGTGGATCGAACTCTCCTATTGGTGCTGCGTTGGTATTGGATGCATGTTTTTGCCCATCGCTGCAGTCCTGCTCTATTTTCGGCCATACATATCTTTGCGATATTAGTTTTGCTGACGCCTTTGCTCCTGGGTGAGCTAGGCTGTGTAAGGAGTTGAATATTCTCCTTCTGAATGGTAGTGTCACGTATGGTCGTGTTATCGGTGTCGATGTATCGCAGTATAGTGTTGTCGTTGTTCCTGGTATTGCGACTTTCGTGAGCTGCAGGCTTTGTTTCGTACTCATCATCTCTTGCATTTCTGGGTCTTGTAGTTGTGATTGTGCTAATTCTTCGAACTTGACTGCCACTTGTATTGCTTCTACTCTGGAGAGGGTATCGGCTACTACATTTTCTTTCCCTGCTATATGGCGGATGTCTGTTGTGAATTGGCCGATGTACTCTAAGTGTCGTGCTTGGCGTGGTGAGCTTCTTAGCGGATCTTGGTCAAAAGCGTACATGATTGGTTTGTGGTCCGTGTATACAATGAACCGTCTTCCTTCTAGCATATGGTGAAATGTTTGATCGCTGTGTATATAGCCAGTAGCTCTCGATCGTATGGACTGTACTTCGTTTGTGGTCTGCTGAGTTTTTTGCTTAGGAATGCTAGTGGTTGCCATTCCCCTTTAACTTTCTGTTGTATGACCGCTCCTAGTGCTGTGTCCGAGGCGTCCGTCGTTACGGTCAGTTCTGCTGTTGGATCTGGGTGTGCTAGGAGTGCTGCTCTAGATAGGCTGTTTTTGCAATTGACAAATGCTTCTTCCATTTCTGGCGTCCATTGGATTAGTTGTTGTCCCCTCTTCTTTGGTCCTCTCAATACTTCGCTCAACGTTGCTTGGTCCTTTGCTGCTCCTGGGATGAAACGTCTGTAGAAGTTGATGGTTCCCAGAAATTGTCGCATGTGTTTGACCGTCTTTGGAGAAGGGAAGTTTTTGATTGCTTCCACCTTCTCTGGTAGCGGTCTGGTGCCTTCTGCTGAGACCAGGTAGCCCAAGAATTTAACCTGTGCGGCTGCGAAGGTGCACTTGGCTGGGTTAATTCTCACCCCGTTGGTTTCTAGTCGGGTGAAAAGTTCCCTCATGTGCTTTTCGTGTTCTTCTTCTGTTGCTGATGCTACAAATATGTCAACTATGTATGCATAGCAGAAGTCTAGTCCCCTTAATATTTCGTTAATGAATCTTTGGAAGGTTTGTGCTATGTTTCGAAGTCCAAACGGCATGAATTTGAATTCGTATAATCCAAATGGCGTGGTGATTGCTGTCTTTGGTACGTCCTCTTCATGTACCGGGATTTGGTTATATGCTCTCACTAGCGTTGAGAAAACTTTTTTCTTGTGCAATGTTTGCGCGAAGTCCTCTATGTGCGGTATCGGATAACTATCTGGTATTGTGCGTGTGTTTAATCTTCTATAATCTCCGCACGGTCGCCACGCTTCTTTTCCCTTGGGCACCATATGAAGTGGTGCTGACCATGGGCTTTTCGATGGCTGGATTATCCTTGTCTTATAAACCCCACTCACTGGATTTCACTTGCTGGCGCCGACTCCCGCTCGTGGCCGCCTCACGGCGAGCTTTCGTGGCTCGCGTGGTGCTCGCGCGCGGGTTTCACGTGCTCCGCGCGTGAGAATTCGTTCGCGCGTCTACCGGGTAGTTCGCGCGTAATTGTGGTGGTTTCTCGAACCGCCACAAGTTGATTTTATCACAATTATTTATTTACGCAAGCAGATAAATGAATAAATAAAATATTTCGTGCTTAATTATATCCTTTTTATATCTGCGTTAAAAATATTTGCAATTTTTCATATCGGTTATATGTTATACATACCAATTATAAAACTTAATTCGAATTTATCAATAAAACCGAAAAACTCGAACCGCCACATATATGTACACACATTACAATTGCCATTTTTTAATGTGTTTTTACTTTTACAGAATTTCAAAGAGAGGTCATAAGAAAGTTACAATTATTACTCAATAAAATGACTGTTTTGGAGAATAGAATGGTCTTATTGGAAACATCAAGCTTGATGCGGCATTGTAATTATGAAGCAGCCGATGTTATACAGTATGAGGAGTATGATCTGCCATTGGAAACTATAGCGGCATTAAAACATTTAGAGGAATTATTAAAAGATAGATCATTCGCAGATAAAATGGTAAGAATGTAGTAATATATATAATATAATATTAGATATATAAATATATATATAAAATCTTATTTGTATGTAGCTTTAACTAACAATATATATACAATTTGAGTTGGCAATATTTTGTAATACTTTTAATTAATATAAAAAGAATCACGGATGGATGGATCCCATAGGTGAACACGCTGAAACAAGTGGGTGGAGTAAATGTGTTCAACATCATACCAAATATATTACAAAAATTACTAAGCGACCAGCTTGCAGAGAGTTTTAGTTATCTGGGACATCGAAACAAAAGAAATTTCAGTGCTCTACATTTGTGCTCAATTCTGAAGAGTGAGTATTACACAGAAAACCATCCTATTGTATTCAAAACAAGAAAACTGTTATAGATGAGGCTGCTCTCCACAAATATTTTATGACATTTAGAATATTTTACGGTACATCGCTTGAATGAAATAATTGGATTTAAAAAAAGTTTTCTATGATAATATTTCTGCAAATACCTTATCAATATATTAATTTATTCAGAAGAGGATATGATATTACATATTTATGAGTTTCGAATTCAATGCAGTTCACAAAAGTTAAACGATGTCAAATTTAAAAAATATAAATATGATAGTTTTAGGAGTAATTGCACTTATGAAACATTTCATAAATATATAATTACTGCACAAAAAATATTTCAATATATCAATATAT